TTTTGGGCCAGTTTGCAGAAGGTCCCTTTCTAGGCCTATCTGCCCATCCATGGTCAGGCTATCCTGTAAAGGCACAACGTTTTCCTACGTGGTAGTATCGTTTCAAAAGGCATGGTTCTAAATGACCCATTTTCATCACTTAAGCACTGCTGTAACATCCAGATGTCCTTACCTTTTCCGATGCATAACCCTCGGAGACATTTATGTCGCCTCCGTGATTAAAACCACTAACGTGTTTCACAGCGCTGGATGAACTACCCACACAGTGGCACCAACAGCCAGGTATGTGCATGAGTGTTAGCAGACACAGCTCTCGGGGGGGTCTCTAAACTCTTTTAATACATGCAGAATTAGGTGTTTGCTGGCTGGGTTCCTGAGATTCAACAGTTCTTGCTTCTGGCTAGCAGCTCCTTATGATTAGGATCATCCTTATTGTCCATTTCCACAGCCGCTGTAAGTGGAACAGGTTTATTTTTTATTTTTATTTCTTCCACAGAATAAATAAGTTTTTTTCCATAATGACCATTTTGAACTGATGCCCACAACCTGTTTTACACAGCATGGCGCATTGTCCATGCAGAGCCACTTACAAATTGTGTCTTTGTCTTGCTTCCAAAACAAAACCCAACAAAGTCCAACAAGCCCCCAACCCAAAGAGATCTTTTAAAGATCATTTCTAAGAGCTTTTATGGGTTACAATTTTCTAATAGGAATCTTCAGCTGGACCTGGATGGCTAAAGCCAAGCCTAAAATAGGTTTAGAGAAAATGAAATTGCAAGGTATCATCATGCAAAAGATACGTATGAACCGATCATCTTGTCTCAGTAACTTCAGAAGGGATGTGCTGAAGGATGGTTTTTATTCAGAAGCCCCGCTCACAAACTGCATACCAAGGAGTTTATGTCGCTATGTGCCTTGTGCTAGAGGGCCAGCCCTTCAGTCCAACTTTAAACAGCCCAAAATCAATAAACGCTTGTGTTGGTTTCAGCTGGGATAAAGTTAATTTTCTTCATAGTATATGGGGCTGTGTCTTGGATTTGTGCTGGCAAAGTGTTGGTAACACAGGGATGTTTTCGTTACTGCTGAGCAGCGCTGACACAGGGTCAAGGCCTTTTCTGCCTCTCGCCCCACCCCACCAGCGAGGAGGCTGGGGGTGCACAAGAAGCTGGGAGGGGACACGGCCGGGACAGCTGACCCCGACTGACCGGAGGGATATTCCGTACCATATGGCGTCATGCTGAGCATATAAAGCTGGGGGAAGGAGGAGGAAGGGGAGGAAATTCGGAGTGATGGTGTCTGTCTTCCCAAGTAACTGTTGCACGTGATGCAGCCCGGCTTCCCTGGAGATGGCTGAACCCCCGCCTGCCCATGGGGAGTGGGGAATGGATTCCTTGTTTTGCTTTGCTTGCGTGCGCGGCTTTTGCTTTACCTGTTAAACTGTCTTTATCTCAACCCATGAGTTTTCCGACTTTTACTCTTCTACTTGTCTCCGCCGTCCCACCGGTGGGGAGTAAGCGAGCGACTGCTGGGGGGCTCAGCTGCCAGCTGGGGCAGTTCCACCACAAAAACCTTCCAGGTTTTACACTTCCCAGATGCAACTGTGCGCTCAAGTAAGAATAACCATGGCAAAGTCGTCGTTTTCAGTTCTTGTTTTACCACTGCAACAGCGCTAGTTATAAAAGGATGACTTAGATGCATCAGCACAGCTTACTCCTGCTCAGAGCCATCATGTTCTTTTAGGAATACAGCACACTCAAATCATATCCACTACCCCCAGTAAGTAGAAGTACGTTACAGTACAACTGCAAAGGCACTTGAGTGAGTTACAAAGACAAAAATACACAGCAGAGATTATGTGAATGACATTTGTATTTCATTTTTTTCCCCAGAAGCCCTGAGGACAGGAATAGAAAAGTTCCAGTTTAGCAACTAAGATGTTTGAAGAGCTAGTGAGCTCAGAGACCTCAAATTTGTAAGTTGCTGTAAGTAGTGACACATGAAGAGGTGTGATGTGTCTAAAAAAAGTATATTAATTTATTTTGAACTTAAATAGAAATCTTTTTAAGAGGCATGCTGGATCGTTGGAGATAGATGCCTTTTTAAAAATTTTCCCCTAGCAGTGTTATAGAAATAAACCCAGGAAAAGCTTTTTTTTCCTTTTTTTTTTTTTTAAACCCCAAATCCTCTGAATTATGTCTGACCAGGTCTAACGATTATGCTTACATGGCAACACTCAAGACCTGTTGTGTGTATGTATGCTGAGTTGGGGTGTAGAGAAATAATTTGATTAAACGAGCCAATAATTAACATGGGAGAGGAAGCACGGCTTCCCTCAGACACTGGATGATGGGAAGATGGGTGCTGGTAAGAGGCCAGGCTAGCGTAAAGCAGTGCTACAGAGGATGTGTGTTCAACACATTCTCCTACGAAGAGTCAATGGTCTTTCCTGTTTCAAGGGAAAAAGAGGAAGAAAAAAAAAATCATATCCAACTGGGTATATTCCCCACCTGACAAGAAGAGTTCTTGCAACAAAACCAGAAAAAAAAAAGTAGAAGAGCTTTAAAAAAGGCCATTGCTAACCTGGCTCAAAGTCCATGCACCTGTGCCCAAGTTAGCCATCTCCAAGTCTCTTGCTGGGAAACCTTAATTCTGCAAATTCTCTTTCTGCATGAAAGAGGCACTCTAGAAAATCACCTTTTTGCATGCATGTTTGTTTTTAATAAAGAAACAAGGAGAACATACAAATCACACGATAGGATCAGATTTAACTGGTAGATTGGACACTCAGGTCCAGACAGGAAGTTTCAGCTGACAATTCTAGCACTGATGTGACTGAGTAGCATCATAATGTAGCATTACTTAATAAGCACACTTTTTCTCAGAGATTTCTATCACTTCCCTTTCCAATCTCAGTCTTTGGGCTGGTTTGTTGTTGGTTTTTTTTTTTTAATTTTACTAAAGGCTCTAAATGGGAACTCCATGGGGTAAAGTGCACCTACTCTTTGCTGGAAATTTTCTAGTGCCAACATCTCCTGTCCACAGCAAAGAAGGGTTAAGTGCCACTACACAATATACATTCCCCACTCTTTTTACAGGGAGGAGAGAAAAACATCTTCAGTCTGTGCAGGCTCAAGAATCTCTGGAATAGTGGCACAATGACCTTTGTGGTTCTCTTGAATGTTCTTCTCCAAGATCAATCAGTTTCATTTAGGCTGTTCTGGGATCCCAGCATCCAACGATTTGTGTTACATTCAAAGCTGTGGCATTTTGTTGTTGGTGGTTTTGTTTGTTTTCATGGTTTTTGTGTCTTTATCCTTAATAAGAAATAAAATCAGTTTAGCAGTTGATTCAGCTGACCTGGTCATGAACTTGATTTGTCCTTGTCTACACTTTCACCTGAAGCCTTCACTGCCAAATTAGCTGGACTGATAGTAGAAGTGGTTTTGCTTTCCAATGCAGTAGGTATCTTTTGAAATTCTGTCCCCTTATTATTTTATTTCTAGTAGTTTAGAGGTACATCTTTTAAAAATCAGTGTTGAAGAGGAAAATGTCTTCCAAACTGCAGAGGTCTTGCAAGATAAACTATCAAGATTCAGCATTTAATTGCTTTCTAAGCAGTACTCATGCAAGTCAAAAGGTATTTGGCAGAACAGTAAATTAGCTTTTGTCTGAGGTGGCCAGAAGCTACACTGAGGAGTTTAAATTTTCTCTCCTTTTTTAATTCTTACAATCTCCTGCTGCATGAGGAAACGCCTCCAACAGGTGTGTGATTAAGCCAGTGCTGTAGAGAATCCATTCTACTTTGTATTCTTTATTTTACTGAAGACTTCTGTAGTTTACTTTGAAATTGGTTTTCAAACACTCTATTCGCCTTGATACTCTGGATTTCCTTCACCCATAAAGCTGTATGAAACCTCGGAAGAGAACAACTGGTCAATATTTGGCTGAGTCTGCTTATGACTATAGCAGGTTTGGGAGATTTGGTTAAGCACCCAGCCAACAACAACAAAGCACACTGGATCCAGCTGCTTGATCTCAGTGTGCCTGTTAACTCTCTGAAGTTACAGATGCCTGTGTTTGTATCTGGACCCTTAGATGTGCTCTCGGGTTTGAGACTGATGTAGGTTTATCTGACTCGAGACAGGCAGTTCACTCCTACAGTATGCCACCTGAACAATTTTTAAAGCCTCATACTTCCACTTTGTACTGGAGCTTTTTGGTATCAGTTAAACTGCAGCACATTTTGCATATCTCTACAAACTTTCACAACAGGCTTCCCAGCTGTAGTTCTGAAAGATGCTGTGATACCATCTTGGGAAGACAAGCAGCACACCAGGACAACCTCTGTCCTTTTAGCTGCTGCACCAGTGTCACAGCTACCAAGTTTGAGTCAGTTCCTGGATTCAAACTCTACTGAAACCAAACTCTACTCCATTTGTTATGTGAAGGCATCAGTTGATTTGGATTTATTTTTTTTTTAATGTGCACACAAGAGGTCTTTATAGGTACTGCAGAAGCCACTGTGCTGCTTGATTTGGTACGCTTTCTAGAACAGTAGGGTGAGCAAATACCCTGTGTGTTGCCATCTCTGGTAGAAATCTAATTGTTTCTAAGGCATCTTTTTTCTGAAGGCATGAAAGTGGAGGTAAATTACAACACACATATTGGCAAAGGAAGTATAAATTACATGAGTCCCTGAGGAAAGAAAAAAAACATGAAAACCTGAACACTTTATCCAGAATATGTACAAGTCATAAAACACACTCTGTTTCAAGTACACTTCAAATAATTACCAACTTGTTAAACGCATTCCATTCTATAGCACCACATCTTGGCCAAAATTAATGTTCATTATCAAATAAGTTAAAGTTGAAAACAATTTTAAAAGTTACCCCAGTAAAAATGTACCTAGCGCAGTATTTTAGTGTATATGAAGATCTGTGATAAAGGTTTTGTGCAATTGCACTCCTCATAATCTTTGCCCTTCATTTTTTTACAATTTAATTCAGTGCGTAGTTAAACTGGTTGGAAAACTTCTCGTGCTTTCTTTGGTCCGCTCGGTTCATTGCTTTCACCACCCGTTTCATAGCACCTCTGAAACAACAAAAAATAATAAAATTACAGTTACATTGATTCTACACCATCTCAGAGAATGTTTATGAATGTTGGGGGGGGGACTGAACTATGATTAATCACTACGAGGCTTCTGAACACTGCACTGATGAGGCTGAACAAATTTGTCTTGTTAACTAATTAGCTGCAGCAACAAATAGTTTAATTCAGCAATGATTTTATTAACAGGAGTAAACAAATTAAAGTCTTTCAGTTTAATGGCTGTGCATTCCATGCTCCTAGCATTATTTCTGATAGTCACACATACCAAGTTTGTTTTTCAAAAGCACCTCACTGCTCTCAGGGAAAGAATAACTACAAGTATCTAACAGGACCTAAAAAACCTAACATTCAGAAATCTTTTATGAAATCCAACCTGCAGAATCTAGAACGTTTTTGTGAGGGAAGGGCGTGCTGTTCAATTCATGTAACTATAACTCAGTTAGCAGCCTTCCTTTCACAGGTTACTAAAAACCCATTTCAACAGCTGTGGGCAGAGTAAGACTCTCTTTTATTCACACCAGCAGCATCCCCATTCCTGAGCAGCAGCTATTTAATCCACAAGCACGACACTAGTTTAGGAAGACATCAGAGATTATCATGTATCTCTATGCAGAGAGATAAATCACTGCTGCAGAACAGTTAAGTGCTGTCCTGGTTTTGGCTGGGATAGAGTTAATTTCCTTCCTAGCAGCTGGTACAGTGCTGTGGTTTGGATTTAGGACGAGAATAACGTTGATAACACCCTGACGTTTTAGTTGCTGCTAAGTAGTGCTTACACTAGCCAAGGACTTTTGCCCCTGCAAGCGAGCAGCTGGGAGGGGGCACAGCCAGGACAGCTGACCCAGGCTGGCCAAGGGGGTATTCCATACCATATGGCATCATGCTCAGTATATAAACGCACAGCACAGTGGGTACATCACTTGTTTTGTATATTTTATTATTATTATTCTTCCCTTCCTTTTCTGTCCTATTAAACTGTCTTTATCTCAACCCACGAGGTTTTTTTCCCCCGACTTCTCTCCCCCATCCCGCTGAGGGGGGAGTGAGTGAGCGGCTCTGTGGTGCTTAGTTGCCGGCTGGAGTTAAACCACACGAAGTGCTTACAGTTTAGCACAGTCAGGACAGTATGTCCAATAGCTTATTCTTATATGAAGTGGAATAGGTTCTCTGCTACCTCACGATGGGCAAAGCATCCAAGCCCTCTGCAGTGCCTGCTGTGCTTGAAGGTGGCTCTAGAGTGTTCTTCAGATTCAAAAAGGAAAGAAAGGAATGAACTCTGCAGCTCTTAAGCTTTCTGGTGCTCCTAAATCTGATGACCATTTGCCCCCATATTGCTGCTCTCTATTTGCTGCTGTTGTTTCCTCCCAGTAAAGATGGTGTGCAGAGACTTCTCTTCTTTTGGGAGCGACTGCTATGCTTTTGAATGGAGCGAGTGAAGACACTTGCATTTTTCTGCCCTCTTTCGAGTGAAGATCACACAGCTGAGATTTTGAGGGTGGGGAAAACAATGCCTAGACAGTCTGAATAGGAGCAGGAGATTCTCATAAAAGGCAAAGAGAGAGCAGGCTTATATACTGTGCTGCATCCAGCTCTGGAGCCCTTGGCACAGGACAGATATGGACCTGTTGGAGCGGGGCCAGAGGAGGCCCCAGCAACGCTCCGAGGGCTGGAACAGCTCTGCTGCCCTGCTGGGAGGACAGGCTGGGAGAGCTGGCGGGGTTCAGCGTGGAGCAGAGAAGGCTCCAGGGAAACCTTATTGCAGCTGCCAGGGCTTAAAGGGGGCTTGTGAGAAAGATGGGGACAGAATTTTCAGCAGGCCCTGCAGTGATAGGACAAGGGGTCATGGTTTTAAACTGAAAGATGGTAAATTTAGATATAAGGAAGAAATTCTTCACACTGAGGGTGATGAGGCACTGGCACAGGTTTCCCAGAGAGGTGGTAGATGCCCCATCCCTGGAAGTGTTCAAGTCCAGGCTGGATGGGGCTTTGAGCAACCTGGTCCACTGGAAGGTGTCCCTGCCCATAGCAGCGGGGTTGGAACTAGATGATCTTTAAGGTCCCTCCCAACACAAACCATTCTATGATTCTATGAGCCTTTAACTGGTAAGGCAGAGGAATGGGTTCATGATTCCAGAGGGGTGAGAAAGCAGAAGAAAGGCAGTAGCAGAAGTCAAGAGAATGCTCTGTTGCATACATCTGCCCCCACAGGAACTTATGGTAGCTGTTGCGCACAGCCGAGTGCATCTTGCTCATGGATTCACTTCACTGCATTCTAGAGTTCCCATTGTTATTGGTCACTTTAGGTGCCTCTAGCACAAAAGCTCAGAAATCTGAGGCTGATAGTTGCAGCTGTGTTCAGATGTCATCCTGCCTCTGTTTATGAAGAAGGAAGTAATCTCCTAACTCATCTCTGTAAAGACCTGGATGCTCTGCCAACATGGTATGAGGTATGGTATGAGGCACACCGGCTAAGGGCTTGGTTTGAGGGACTTCCCATTTAAGAACATGGCACTGATTGATGTCTCCTTTGGTTTCTACATCAGAAATGCAGCCAGCAAGTTCCATCACACAAAGTGGATGGTTTCAATTCTACTGCTGTTAGACTTTACATTGTCACAGTCTGCCTTTATCACTTCTGTGGATGCTGGAGGCTGTGAAGTAAAATGACGACAAGACATCCATCTGGTAGGGAGCACCAGCCTTTTTCAGGATCAGGCCCTACACACTATTCCAGCTCTGCTCCTGTGGTTATATCCAAGAGGCCAGTTGAGTTCTGTTACAGCTAACTGCTCCCTGTAACGGCTTCATTTCAAAAGCCATTTTGAAACATCTGTAAACAGAGGATACTTCTTAATAATGCTTCTAAATGGTGGGATTAAAGACTTCCTCGACAGTAACTGTAATGAAAACTAACATTCTGAAAAAACACCTTGGAAGAGGTATACTTTTAACAAAATTCTGCCAATAAAGTTACCAGAGTAAGGAAAATGTGGTCATGGTTTTGCACTTCAAATATTGCCTAATTGGTAGGAGAAAAGTGAGCCTTTAGCAGCGCAGAGTGGCCTTGACACTTTGATGTCATGTAGGTTTTACATTAGCACCACTGGATTGTGCGATACTGTAAATGAAATGAGATCCCACTTTGATGATCTGTGTGCAATTTCACTTAAGTTTATTGGCAGACTAGAGCCTGGGTTTATCACCTATACATTTCAAGTAATTTGGGGTTGTAATAAGGAGCCGAGGTTATCCTCTTGTTTAGTGCTCCAAAGCATGAAACCTATTAAAACATGACAGGTTTGATTCCCTATGCCTGGCACTAACACACACTCAAAATCATTAACACAAACCATAGTAAATGAAAAACAGCTTTTAAAATTTATTTTGTTAAAGCTGATATGAAATTCTGATCATTAGAACTGTCTGTCTCTGACTTCTAACCAAGATCAGGTAACATGAGAATTTCACAGAAAACATGCTATTTCTGTAGCTAAAAGCAATGTGGATTTGTCTTTGTTATTATAACCATTACATTAGAAAAGGGAAAATAGAGTTTAAACGAATATTGTGCCTTGGATGGTGTTCAACTCATCCAGTATGTTTAGGGAATATCCCAGCATTGATGATTTTATAATAATAATTTTGCTTTTTTTATTTGACAGCTTTACACTTTTCGCTTCTCTTTGACTACTTCATTTTTGACATGTGAAACTCTTTAAATAGCTGCAGCTGCTTCCCATTTGACAAAGACCAGAGCATGCTCAGGCAAATCTATGTTGCAGCCACATCTAACCAAGACTAGATACCAGAAACTGCAGACCAGAGCAGACATATGAAGCCACTGTACGTTCTAAAACTCATTCAGCTTGGTGGGTTGGTAGGCTCCCATTTCCATCAGAGCTAGTGTGCGTGCTTTAAAGTTAACTCACGTGTCTACATAAGTCATGGACACACCTTTGTTTGAAGTGTCTAAATGCCAGTGCTATCCAAACACAGTTTCCTCTCCAGCTAAATGTAAGCCAAGAGCTACTGTTTGCACGTGTGCTGGGAAGAAAGGAAGATGTATAGAAACAGCACCATTGCGGGAAGAATACTGTGTCCGCATGTCTCTGGTACAGGGAATAATCATCTCAAAACTCTCACACTGAAGAGAGACCTGCAGCAGGTTCCAGTCCTCGATATTTACAAAAGACAGCAGGGGTTAAGTGAACAAGGACCATAACACAAGGATCCAAATATTTTTCTTAACCAACTGAATGCATTCTCAGGAAAGGAGGAGAAAAATGCAATGGCAGTGTGTCACTGAATAATACACAGGAAGGAATCACTGTGTGTACATACTGGATCGGAAGGCACTGCATCATGCCCAGCTAGCAATTTAGTATACCCAAGAGTGAGAGAAAATATACAGGAAGCCCAGGCAGCAGTCAAAAGTTTGGGAAGGTCTCTGAGCTTGAGAGAGGCTTGACTGCATCCACCAAGACACTGCTACATGCCAAAAGCCAAGGGTTTTGACAGATCCTTTTATTAACTGAAGTTCTGCTCGGGGCAGCCCATCTTAGGTTTTCAAAAGGAAAAACTTAATTTTCACTTTATCTATGCTACTACAGTGTGCCCGATGCTGTAAGTTGTGTCACTCTGAACACATCATCTTCCTTCTAGATCCAGTGCTATTTGCACACATAAAGTAGCATCCATCTGATTAACAAATGATCATCCAGAGAAGCCACTACAGCAATTAGAGGAGTAAAAAAATAATTGGGAAGGATGAAAAAAAATCTTTCATAGGGAAATTTTACAAATTAGCCAAAAATCATTCTCAAAGAAATAACCTTGGTCATCAGTGCCTGCTACTTTTTACCCTCCAGAGATACTGAAGGCATTTCTCCTCTGCAGTTAGCAAAGAAAATTATTTAATAAGTGTATGTTTATGCAGAAACAGAAAGTACCGTTGAAACAAAGGGAAACAGCAAGTGAACAGGCTTTAGAGAATGTAAGCATCTTACTTATTGAAGACTTTCTTCTCAAGCCGGGAACGAGCAGTGTCAGCCTGCTGCTTCAGGTCTGTCAGATTTGGATATTTTTTCTTCTTCCCTTTCTTTTTCCCTCCTTTTTCATTATTTTTAGAGGAACCAAGATCCATTCCTGTAGCTGCTTCAACCTCTCTCATGAATTCTGGATCTCGCCACTCTGTTTAAAAGAAAAAGCATGCACTTTGAAACTCCAAACCCAGGCAGAATTTACAGTCACCTAAGGTACAGGTTCTTGTCACTGCTGGGCGAGGGCAGAGTCCTGTGTTGCAAGTTGCACACACAAAGGAAGGGGAGGATAAAGTAGTTAGCCAAAACGACAGATCTTGATGAAAAAGCGCTGCCAGTCTGGAATTAGTATCTATTGTTAGCCGCTGCAGATAAAACTGTTCTGTAGAAAGACTTAAGTCACGTTTTCGCAGTAGCACGGTAGCAAAATTCCAAGGAAACTATTCCGTGTAGGAGGTGACAGAAACACAGTAATTATTATTTAGAAATTGAACAAAATGCCAACAATGTAGCTGAGGAACTTAGCTCCAGAAATAAATTCTGAATAAGCTAAAATATAAACATAAACAAAATGGAGTATGTCAACTTTTGCGCAGAGTTGGGGTGACAACATCACAACTTTTCTGCATGAAAGAATGGTATTTGCTTCAAAACATGAACTAGTATCTGACACCTAAACAGCATTCTTGAATAAGACAACATGACCGTGTTGCCATGAGCCTAATTTTACATCTGAAAGAGATACTGCTTTTTAAGTGTCCCATACTTCCTCAGTTTAATTATCTAAATCAAGTTTCTTCTCTTGACAAGAGCACAAGAGTTAGTTTACCTCATCAAAAACCTGTTTTATCAAAACCTTAATGCTTCAGACTCCAACCATACACTGTTAATGGATTCTGATCGTAGATACCACCACAGGAAAAAGCATGAACTATTTTGACTGTAAACTCTGAGGAAGCAGTGGTCTTTCACTTTTAGTATAGTGTCTTGCATATCAGAATAAACTAACATGGTACAAAGTAGAGGGTAAAAATGTGGCTAAAAGATGGATATCTTCAAGTAGAGATATAGAAAAATGGCATTGCACTATAAAGATTTTGAGCATATGGGTTGGGAAAAAAACCTAGCAAGTACCACTTCAGAGAATAACATGGTCCAAACTTAGCAAAAATGTCAGAATTCTGTATTTTAACAACCAGTAATTGCCAGTAATTTGTTATATAGTTTCCCATATGCCAGTCAGCCTTTCTTGCCTGCAGAAATTGTAACACCAAATGTCTACTACCTTTATTTAACATCAATGTAGCTATAGAAAAATAAACAGTCCTAAATGACTGTACAATTTCACTTATATACCAAGATGGTCACTGAGTGTGACAAATATTGGCAATAACATTTCAGGAAGGTCAGAGGCAATGTCCCCCACCTAAGAACATGATGTTTAGAAATACCAGAGCAATTTTCCAAGGAAAGGTTAGATAACCTACTATGATACATGAAAGCAAGGACCAATTAAAATCCAACACACCAAAAAGCACGAGGGAAATGAAGCTGTGCAAGAACTGAGCAGGAGAAGTATAGAGGGAGAAAATAGAACACATATACTTGATAGATCATAAGACCTCACAGACTTCTTTTTTTTTCTGAAGTGAAGGAATACAGAACAGCACAATTCAGATACAGGAACGATTAATCCAAGATTAAGGAAAACTGTCTAAACAGTTTATCTCCCAGTAATAAGAAGGCGTCACAGTTTAGGAACCCAGTGAATGGAGCAATTGTTTAAACACAACGAAAAAATGCCGGCATCCAGTAGAGATGAAATGAGCATTTGAGTAAAATGAAGGAGCAATTTAAAAGCCTTTGAGAAAAATCAATAGAATGCCAGGGAAGAGCAGCCTTTTTGAGCATTGATGGGCCCCTAAAGCTCTTCATACATTGTTACTGAGTTTAGCAGCAGGGAAAAGAAAATTACACAGTTTGCAAGGGTAGGCGGGAATCAATACTGTAGTTAGTAAAGAGATGCTATTTCACATCTGACTGGCCAGCGGCCTGCCTTCACCAGCCTGTCCTGATACCTGTGTGTTAACAAGTCACTAAGGGCTGAAAAAACAGATACTCTTCAGGGTTGACACAAAAAAATAGGCACTTAATTTGCTCCTGTGTGCGAGCTATTGGAAAAGGATGAACACTGCAGATTAGCAGGTCAGCATAATCCCACCTGATTCATTGTTTCAGGACTGAAGAGCCCAAAGCACCATTTTGTGGACATTAGCTAGAGTTTAGAATTCTATACTAAGTTAAAGAATGCTCTGCAATAACAACGACAGTGTTGTCAAAACATAGGAATTATCATACAAACTGTATTACTTTTATATAATTATTTTCCCCTTCAACCACACAAGGATGAAAACAAACCTACCACCCAACAGGAGAAAGATGTTGGAAAAATTTAACCATGCAATTTAACCATGCAGCTGATCCCCAAATTATAATGTTTGGGATTTTTCAAACTGTCATCATTAGCAAATGATGTTGTCAATCATAACAGCAAAGCATGCACTGTCCCCACTTGAATATTTGCCAAAGCAGTACTGCTCAAGATTTGCTTCAAGTCCCTTGTAAATAAACAAACAAACAACAAACCCCAATGCAAACAAACCAAACACACACCTCCAAACCACGAGCCCAAAATAAAGAAACTAAAGACCATTTTAAAAGTCTGATGAACGTATCATAAAACAAATACAAAAATACTGAGGCACAGGAAAAAAGAAAGCAACAAAAAGCAGTGCTTAGAAGTATTTAGTGACATCTGGTATACATATGACTTTAGAAACCTGTAAGGTTTTGTTCAATAAATTAAGTGCCATAGCTTGTTCAGTATCTCCCCAGACAGATGGATGGACCTTTGTATGACATTTCAGCTTAACAACCGCACTCAATAATGCAATGCAGCAATGTCAACACTGGTTTGGGACTAACATACACATCCTTGTGGGCCAGAGGTGAGAAGCCTCTAACAACACCCAGCTGACACTGTAATAAAAATAAATATTATGTCTAGCCTCAAGCAATGGTGATTTCACAGAAGAAAAAAAAAAATCAATATTTTTCAGTGCAAGTCATTTTTATACCAGAGTATTAGTTTCTAGTTTGAAACAAGTCCCTCAAGAACACCTACTAGTTTAATTTGCCAGTTTTAGTTTGTCATAACTAAGTTTGGAGCTTTCCTTTTTAACACAACATCCACATCCCTGGCCTGGTTTCGCTGTGACCATCCAATGCTGCTGGCTGGACGCCAGTTCAGAGCACTTCGCTCCACCTGCACGAGGATGGACGCTGCCTCTAAACCTCGCACTTCCCCGCACGCAGGCACGAGAAGGTGTTCAGTAACTGCTGCATTCGCGTGGTGCTGGTAATTGCCAAGCACAGTCATTCAAAGCCAGCCAAATACGTATTAAAGGAAACTGTGTGGGTCAGTTGTATGTTTAAATGCACATTCATTCGACATAGGCTTTTTTGGGTAACAGATCAACAACTGTTTTTATGCTCTGAAGGGGTTTCGTGGGAGTTTCAGTAGCCTCCTTAATAATATATATGACTGTGAAACCAGTGAAACACTTGAGACAGAACTTAAGAGACAACCATCTCCTTAAAGGGAACATACTACAAGATATGAAAATGATAAAGCCTATGGGTAAGTTTAATTAGAATGCAGACTACTCACCTAGAATAAATAGCTTAAAACAGAGAAAACGAAGACCCGCTGGAGGAAGGCATATTAAATAAAAGCTTTGAAAACAAACCTGTCCCCTCCAATTACACACTATGTCTTTGATAGATCCCTCTCACCTTGCTTAGCAGTCCATCAGCTTCCAGTAGCTTCCTGGCTGCAGTTCCCCTGGCACCCTATGGAAATCCACCTCCTGTCCACCACTAGCGAGGCTTAGTTGTACTATTGCAAAAAAGTATCTTATGCCCCTTGGAAGTCTTCCTGCCTGTGTACTCATTGCTTGCTGCCTTTCTCATTGCCTGCATTCCTTACCTAGCAGTCCAGAGCCTTATCCTGGCTAAAAATGCCCAAATAATCATGGGGAAGGATAAGCCTTCCCTCCAGAGCATTCCACACCTGAAAGCAGCAGCCTGGAGGCAAGGAGAAGGCCATTAGCCGTTTTGTTGCCCATTCCCATTGTTTAAAAACAAAATCCAGAGTATTGCACAGTAAACTGTAGACAATTAAACAGCACGTAACAGCATCTGTCTGCTCCCTTCCTCAAGCCCATCACAAACATGATGCCTATTAGAACATCCAGATGTTCTAATGCCAGTTATAGTTATAATGCCAATAAAGTAAAGCCCAAGGTGAGGGCTTCCCTAGTTCAGAGTATTTTCTAGCGATGCTGCACAGATGCACAGCACAACAAGGCCAAGAATTCTTCTAAAACAGAAATAGCAAATCAGTAGGTATAGGAAATAGAGAACGATAAATATGAACAGATATAGGAAAAACAAGTTCCCGCATTGTAACAAAAAACCCACTCTGCTAATAATCCTGGTAACACAGTGACCCGAATAATAGTATCACTACATTATGCAAATGACAACTGTTAGGGACCAGCAAGATTAGATGACTCTTCAGAAGCATAGGAAGAGTTATTATCAGGCATTTAAGGACAATTAAACCTATTTCCTGGGAATACACATGTTCCTTAAGATAAAAGCTATAATTCGTCTGTCTGAGAAGTGTTAGGAACATCATGGTAACTATTGTAAATAAAGAACAAATGCAATGTTAACTTTATTCTGTGTACACATGCATCCATATTTATCACCTAAGCAAGAAGCACTGCAAATGATCTGCAAATTAAAACCAACAGGAATTTAAATGAGAGAACGGGGTTAGGAGCAGAACAGAAATATGATCCAGTTCTGTGGATCTTAACCTGTGCCTTTGGCAACAAAAGAATCGTCTCTCTTCCACCATATAGCCTGTCTCACCCATTGTCCAACTATATACTGAGATTGTTGTCCAACTTTTATCTGCACTGCATCTATATATAGATGCAATGTGTACAACATATAGATACAATGTAGATACAATATAAACAATTATCATATGGATTGTAAATACGTTGTAGATATGCTAAATACTGAATACAATATATATACAAACACATACAATAAAGACAGTACGCTTACAAACACATACAATAAAGACAGTACGCTTACATTTAAAGGTCATATACCATCTCTGTCTAATA